TCTCCAATATTTCAGTGAGTCATGCTTTGGAAATTATTATTACCCAACCCTTGAGTTGTTTTGTTTTTCATTTACCCAACCTTTTACTCACTCAAAATGTTGTTTACCCAACCCTTTTCTCTTCGGTACCACCCCCTGCCATAAATAATGATCGGTCCCTTAGTAGTACTAAATAGGCGAAGGCGTATTTAATTAACTATATATTGGAGAAGTTGGAGGAAAGTATGGGTAATCATGAGATTCTTTGCAGTTTGTCATGGCTAATGTAGCAGCTTAAAATTAACCAACTGTCAATATTTTAAAGGTATATTATTTAAATGATAGAGGTCTGCATGATTTTGAAAAAAGAATGATTATTAGCAAATTATTGGGAGGGCTGCAGCACCCCCACCAGTCCCCCTCCGTTGCTACGGCCCCGAGAAGTAATAAACCTAATAACACCGATTTACGATTTGTTAAATGTTATTCCATGTAAATACTATGATTTCGTAAATCAGTTTATGCTGAGAATACAATTAATAATTATATTATATTTTCTCTGTTTAACAACTAAAATTTTGTTATACTGATTATTGCCGTAATTTTCCGAATGGCCAAACTGATTTTCCGAATATGTTAATTCGAAAAAAGTTGGGGGTTATAACCCCCCCCCCCAAAAAAAAAACCAACAAAAAAACCCTCGCTACGGCCCTGACTATGTCATAAAACTATCTACAGTGTACTTGTATAGACTATTCAACTAATATAAAAAATGTACTCTCAATTGATGATCTTGAGTTTTGCTTTAAAACTATTAACACTTTCTGAATTTTTTATTTGACTTGGTAGACTCCAGGCCACTGTAAATATTCCAGCTAAATGCCTTTTTCAGGTAGTTTGTTTTAGCCTTCGGTGGTAGGAAATCATGTTTGGCTTTTCTCGTTTGCTGTTCATGGACCTCGTTCTTTTTTTGGACCATATTAATTCAGTATTAGAAGACGAAATTCCGTCTAAGACGGGAAACTCGTGTGACGGATTTCCGTCTGATATAAGTATGAAACGAAAACCATCGGACGCGGATAAACCCGAAAAAATAGGAGACCCTCCATCCCAGTCTCTCTTTTAGTGAACGTTACCAGCAGAAACCCGTCTTGATTTATTCGTCTGATATAAATTTAAGACGGATTTCCGTCTAAGACGAGAAACTGATCGTCTAACTGTTCCGTCGTTCAGAATTTATATCAAGACGAGTTTCTCGTCTGAGATGAGTTTTCCGTCTTAGACGGAAATCCGTCTTCTAATATGAATGACATGCATCGATCATGTGATGCTGGGTGTAACTCTTCCTGCTTTCCGTCGTAACTTTTCGATGCGGCGAACATAATCAAATTAAATGCGGCATACGTTTTTACAGATACAGTGCCATGCAGAATTTTCAGTACTAAATTGCTATTATATCATATTATGTTGAACCTGTAAGGCATAATGACATGACAGTTGCCGTATTTTGTCCCGTATTGAACCTGATCAAAACTTGCCGATTTAGATGGCCGCTCTCCTGTCGTACTTATTATCGTTGTATCAGGTTCGGCGCATGAACATTTCGCCGTCCTATTCCGGGCCTAATATTAACGAAAATGTTGTCCATGAACGAGTCGGAGCGATTAATCCACCATATCGATAACTTAGCAGTTAACAGACAGCGGTAAAATGTTATTTATTTTTTAAATACAATAAAGAAATATATATGCCGTATATATATCGTTTTCGAGTTTTCGGGCGGTATAGGGATAATACATTACAGTAGTCAGATAGGAAGAACGTAGCTATAGTCTAATAGTATAGAATTCAACCGACGCGGTTCAATATTGAAACTGCTTACGCCAAACTAATTTCGTTTCCAAAACTCAAAAGTATGCATGGGTTCTTTATATGTCTTACCGTCGAATATCGGCAATGTCATTGGCGATCAGAAATGCTTTACATCCAGTTTTTATATGTACTTTTTATAAATTATTCGATATAGATTATATAGTTTTATATATTAAGAGTATATAGAAAGTAAACTATATATTAGCAACGAAAACAACTTAACCTAATGCTGAGCCTATAAGAAGAACTTGCCTTGCATGCCTTTGAATAGAATATTACCTTTGAATTGAATAGACTTTGAGAGAACTTACCTTTGAATTTCACTAGAAAAACAGCTTGCAACCTTGACTGTGGACGTTGTTAAAATGATAGATCAGGATATTTCCGCTATATTTAAATTGCTGAAACAGGAAGACAATTGCATGCATATAGGCCTATGGGCTTAATAGTCTCAAGGCTGATTTCCACTGTTGCGTTTTTCATACATGCGTATTCGCATTAAAACTTTAAATCCGTTTAAATGTTACTTATGAAATAACCAAATAAATAAAGCAACAGAATTTAGTGTTCCGCAAGTTTTATAGTATGCATTTGTTAACTTATATTTGTAAAATATTTAAAAAATAGAAGGATTCAAAGTTTTACGTGCATGTACGTGCGTACGAAAAACGCAACAGTGGAAATCAGCCTTTAGACGTCCTTACGTCACGTCACTGTCAATCAATGAATATTTGACCTGCAGGCCACATGTGTCTCATATTGCAGATATTCGTTTTCTTTATATTGACAATGTCGCCATGCATGCTTGCATTGGCTTCATTTACATATGATGAGATAGTATAGTGAAGGATTTATACCTTTAATTGTTGATGGGACAATTAATGCTGAGAAATGAATACACGCTGCATGCAAGGCGGAATGGCATTGCGCACGTAAAAAATGTCGCGAAATTTACATCAGTTTTCGTTCCGCACTCCACAGGCTATTCCGCATGCCATTCCGCAGGCCATTCCTCATGCCATTCCGCCTTTTACATTCACCGTGCATGCATGCGTGCATGTTCCGAGTGATTTTGGTGAATGCTATAATAAATCAAGTAATGATTTTTGAAACGCCTCGCTATTCGTGCATGTATATAACGTCAAGATAGACAAGTCTTTATTAATAAAACAATATACAACAACCGTGCGAATTTACATGCATATTCATAATTCATGCATAGATAATTTGAAGTTAATAATGGTATTATAAAATTTAAGAGTATATAGAGTTATAGACTATAGTCTTATAGACTTATTACTTATATTAGCCCTATAGTTCACTGTTCTTAACTTCATTTCTGCAAGATTAAAAAGATTAACAAATGTTTTCTGAACACTGAAAAAGTGTATGCATATATATGCATGCCAAAGCTGGAAAATGAAATAATGTCCTCGTGTAATTAAAGCCTGGTTTCCATATGTGATATGGTCGTAAAGATTGCATGAGTCATGCACTTTCTCATCAGCCGAAATACAACATTTTGGAACTGAAAATACACAGACTGGTCATAGCTAGAAATACTTATGATTTATATGTGGTTTACAGGTATAAACTATTATAAACTGGCCGTTGGCGTTGACTACTTGACTGTATAATGATAAGCATGTAAATTATCTAAGACTAAGTTGTGAATTGGGTATAAACAAACGTTAGCCAAATTTGTCTATTGCAAATGGACAACTTGCATGTTAGACTAAATTTTAATCGAAGTCAATTAAGATTCAAACATCACAGCTAAAAAGAACATAATGAAATTAGTAAAATTGCAAAATTTGGTTGCGAAATGTTATAAAGCTTGAACAATATATAGCCGTACGCGTGCAAAGTTTCCAAATTTTGTCATATGTTTGTATTACGCACGGAAATTGCTACCATTTTCGGCTCAAACATGCATGGTAACAATTTCCGCACGTAATACAAACATATACTTAATTGATATACAAAATATGCAAAAAAATAATAATAATAATATAATAAGTATTATGAGTATTATAATATATATATATATATTATATTATATTATTATTATATATATATATAATAATATTATTATATATATATTATTATTATATATATATATTATATATATTATTATTATTATACATTATATTATATTATTATTATAGTATTATTATTAGTGTTATGAGTATTATAATATCTTTATAATACTCATAACTATTTAAAATATAACTTACTAACTCTTTGTATCCTTGTAAATATGTATAGCATCATGTATCCTATAGTCTCATAATTTCTCTGGTATATCATATATATCCATATATACCAATATGTAAATACTGCACGCACACTATATATATTTTCTATACTTTGTATTTTAATGTTTTGCAGGAACCATCTGAAAAACACTTCTTGTGATGTTGGTTTCCTGAATAAATATTATCATTCATTCATTCATTCATTCATTCGTTCATTCATTCATTCAAACTTCGCAAGGCTATATTTTCCGTATTTTACAACATTTCATAACGAAATTTTGCAATTTACTTTTTTTTTCCTAGAGTAAAAATTAGTCTAACATGCGGCAAGTTGTCTATTGAAAAACAAGAACATTTTTTCTTGTTTTCGAATATGGGCAAACCACTGACCTGAAATAAGACTGGATAAAGCATCCTATTGAATTTAGTAATCCGATCACGGTTTTGAAGCCAGAATATTTTAATGAGATGAGATTTATAATTAAATCAGTCAAATTCATGACCTGTCTAATCGTTTGCTGTTTAAGTTCAGTTAGACTATAAAACAAATATCTTCGCCTATGTGACTTGTGAAATATAGCTTACAAAGCCTCCTCGAAGTAGTTTTGGAACGTTTTATACACCACATAATGATTAATGTCTAATAATGAGGCTTATGTATGGCGGCCATATTTGATGGCGGCTATATTTGATAGCTCATTAGTTATTCACCGGCAAATTTAGGAAAAAAGAGAGGCTACTGATGATAAATTCTTATCTAGGCAATATTTGTCCTTTCCCACTAGTGACTAGAAACGTAAAGGAAGATCTGAGTTATTAAAACATGTCCACAACACGTCAACACCAGACTAGATTAATAATTGTGGGGGCATCCAATATGGCCGCCACTGGCTTCACTTATAATATGCACAACATATGCTTTATCCAGTCTTATTTCAGATCAGTGGAGCAAACAGAGAAATACTTGAGAAAAACATTTTCAGATGTTGAGGGTGGAAAACATGGAAACGTTTGAGAATACAAGAAGATTTTCAGATCTTTCTGCAACTGAATATATCATATAGTTACCCTACAGGCCAAACTTAATATCAGTTGCACCATTTTGTCTTTGAGTGTGTTATGAAAACTATTTTAAACAAACCATCTTTAACAATGTAGCGGGACATAAGCAAGCATTTTTATGTGTCTTCATTGGTTTGCATGTATTTTAATAACTTTTTACAATTTCATATTTTCAGTGTGGCATACAAATAGTAAGTACTATCATAATAATATTCATCATTAATATCAATAATTATTGACTATTCCAAGTTCCTATTTGAGTTCGTATAGTTTTTAGCATTTCATTACATTACATTTCATTGATAATAGTTCATCGTATTTTCCAGTTCATATCTTAATTTTAGTATTTAAGAGAGTATATGTTTTCTTGGTTTCAGGCAGTTTGTGTAGCTCGATTGAACTGAATAATCAATTTCATTTTCACAGAATTCAGAGAAAAATCCGTTGTTCCAGAAAATCTTTTGTGGTATGGGAATACTTTGACGAATTTGAATATTGGTACAGCAAGTTCGACATCTCTTTTGGCTAGTGTTTCTTCCCGGAGATCCGCCATCTTGGATTTATTTGCATCAGCCCAACACCGAGTGCAGTTGGTGATCGCCAGAGACGACACCCAATTATGCCTCAGTATCAGGGTGGATCCCAACAAGAACAAGAATCCACCAATCACGAACAAGGATACGCCAACATCCGGGAGATGATCTTCAACGATTGTTAGCCAGCCAATGGAATTTTGTGTGAAACTTTTCAAAATCCTAGCGGTCCAAAAGCCTGATTCCACCACATATCCAAGTCCAGGAAGCCCTGTTGACACTGACGGCAAACGTGATTTGAACTTGCTAAACAGCGTGTTTTGCTCTTGTTGGGTTTCGCGAGTGAACCAGCTTTTAATCCAACCTCTCTGGACCTTGTAAAATTCATGAATAATCAATGAGTTTCGCAAGCAGTCACATTTTAAAGATGACGTCACGTCTAGGTGGGTTGCTGAATGGGCGAGAGGGAGGCTTTCAACATGGCGGCTATTTTTGAAACGCAAAAGAATTAAAAGCCAGGCAGTTTTGATAGTACTAGGTTCTACACCATACTCCAAACATTACCTCTAAACCTAACCTCAATCCTAACCCTAGCATTAATTAACCCTTAACTAAAGCAAACTTTGAAACTTTGAACTATCTTGAAAACCTCCATCTTAGCCATTACCGTACGTCCGTCCTAGCATGGTAGGCGCACATGAATCTTGAGCCCAATCGCGAACCTATCCTTTACCCTACTGTGCATGAAACACGAACAAATAACTACATGAAAACGAGGCCATTGGGGCAGCAGAGCAGTAGACAGTACAGTCTATTAGGCCGTGTTTACACTATGACACTACGGCAAATTTACCGTTGCGTACGAGGTTGCGTATTGATTTGCATCTGGAGTGTCACGCGTGGTGGTCCGCAGTTGGTGCGCTACTACGCTACGACAAGCCACTCTAGAGTCTATAGGCCCGTTTACACTTGCTATTTTCGCTGCGATTTCTAGTGCAATTTTCGTCTTCTAATGCATGTGAACGAGTGGATGAGAAATGAATGTTTTGAGTATGTGTATCCTCATCTGAACATTTATAACTCATCCACTCGTTCACATACATCAGAAGAAGAAAATCGCACCTAAAATCGCAGCTAAAAATTGAAAGTGTAAACGGGCCTTCTGTTATAGTGTGAACACAATACTAATAAACGTAGTGAATTTTTCACGGAGTGCTAGTCGTAGGTTTACCGTGTAAACGCGGCCTTAGTCTAAAACACTGGCAGTTATAACTCTTCTCTTTATGCTCTACAACGGAAATTTTCAAATTTTACACTTTACCGCGCCGGAGTAATCACTGAATACATACGCCATCAAAACACGCCAATCAAAGAACGGAAAAACCGTCAGCACACACGCCATCAACTTGCGGTACGGTAAAGTGTAAAGTACCCTCTACAACATTCATGTTTAATTTAAACATGACTTACTTCCTTGGTTTGTGTCATGTAGCTGGCCACCCATTGCGATACATAGCCAGTTCGCAGCAGACATACGATCACTCCAATTAAAATAAGATCTCGTCCGATGCGTGTTACTCTGGATTTGAAATTAAAGTTTTGTTTTGAGTACGGCAGCTCCAATGCATAGCCAAATCTTTTTTCGTCCTGAGCCGGTTCGCTTTCCTCCGACGATTCTTCGCCCACCATGGATTTTTCCATTTGTGAGCTTAACGTCTGCAAGATCGGTGCGTTTATTAGTGACGTCATAATTATAAAGTGTTCTCGGTTTTGGATTTGTGTAACACGCGAGAACGCGCGCGTCGAATCACGCACTCATGCATGCATGTGAAAACTAGAATAGATAGATGCGCGCCTGATTGATGGCTTTAATTAATTTAAAATGGAAAGAAGTTACCATATAGGATATTTGTGGCACAGTGATTAATGCATGTTCCTTTCATCTCTATGACTTGAGTCCAATTCCTGCAATATGCTGTTGTCTGATTATAATTTTGCCTTAGTTATGTGTGAGAAGAGTGCTTTTCTCCCGGTGCTTTTGTTCTTAAGCCCTGGGCAAACTGGGAAACATTGTTGCGGAAACATTGTTTCCTGCCAATGTTTCGTCGTGTTTCCAAGAGTGGGCAAACACTAGGAAACATTAGTGAGAAACATAGGGAAACATCAAATGTTTCTGAATTCGCTAGGAAACATTTTTGCTTCTCGGGAAGCAAATTTTGTTTCCGCAACATTGTTTCCACGGGTGGGCAAACAGGGAAACATTTGAGGAAACATCGAGAATCACAAATGTTTCCACAACAATGTTTCCTAGTTTGCCCAGGGCTTTATACTCTGTAGTAATACTGGATGATCATGACTTAACTTTATCTTCATCGAATAGTTGTATCAGTTCTAAACTGTAGAGGTCCGGTAAGGACTGTCGCTTATTGATCCAGTGTTATTACAGGAAGATATCTAAACTAACTTTATTTATACTGGATAGCTCCATCAGTTCTAAACTGTTCTCCCTAGAGGTCTAGTAAGGATCATCGCTTATTGATCCAGTGTTACTACAGGAGGAAACCTAAACTAAACTAACTTTGTTTATACTGGATAGCTCTATCAGTTTCAAACTGCTCCATAAAAGTCCAGTGAGCATCGTCGTTTATTGATTCAGTGTCACTACAGGAGGAAACCTAAACTAACTTTATTCATACTGTTCTCATCGCTTATTAATCCAGTGTTACTGCAGGAGGAAGCCTAAACTAAACAGTCTAAACTAACTTAGTTCATATTGGATAGCTCCATCAGTTCTAAACTGTTCTCCCTAGAGGTCCAGTGTTACTACAGGAGGAAACTGGAATACCCAGACAAGACCGAAGGTGTTTGGTAGTCTAACATGTAACTCACATGCGACTGATGCGAAATTATTAGACTGTATATTTCTGGAATCCAGCCACACTTGCTTAGATGAAAGGCATATGTCCTAACTGCTGTAATTCTCAAGATGTGTGTTTGTATATGCTCTAACAGCGCATGAGCCTGCAGACGTCCAGCTCTCTACACGTGCGTCCATGGCAATTTGAATGCGCCAGATGTCGTTGTCTATTCAGCTGCTTTCCTTTGAACGTTGAAGTGTAATTACGAGACAAAATTGTATTTCTCATTTCGTTATAACAGAAAAATGTTAAAATATTTCATGTGAGAAAAATATAATTGACTTTTCATTAATATGTGTTACGGTTAATTCTACTTCATAAATTAGCTGTTAAGAGTAAATTTGTAAGGAAAAACGTTCTCAAGAGGAATCTATTTTTGGGTGTTTTTTGCATACTAGCTACTTTCCCAAGACTTATTGAAAGTGTCATTTTATTTTTGCTTTTCATATTGCAATCGTGTTGTTGGACAAACACGAATTTAAACTTCTGTTAATGAGTAGCAAATTTATTACCATGGTAACACTATTTGTTGACATACATAAATTTCATCTATTCAGAATGATAAAGCAATGAAATTGAACAGAAAATATTTGTTACATTGATGTTATTAATCAGTTTTGACTTGCCATTGTGAGTGGGTGCCATACGGTAATTCGCCCATGAAGCAGCAACGCCATTTCTATCTACACAACGGATTGCATTCAATATTCATTCTCGTTTTCTACGGATTCATTAAGACATCTGTTAAAGTCAGCGTCATAAAGACTTTTAGAATCGTTTTCTGGACGGTTTTTCAAGTTGCAGTTTAATACCGTGAAGGCGAAGACGTATATAAACTATAGCTGTCCACGGACTGTGTAAATCAGAAGTTGTATAATACTACTCGGCAATTGTCTTTTCATAGACATTTTTTTGTTTAAGATACGTAGTTTGTCCAAGACTCAGAGATTATTATCTTAGCATTTCTTTTGAATTTTTTTATTTATACGCGAGTTTGACTCGTTTCAACGGGCTTACACTCAGTCGACAAATCACAAAATGTAAATTCTGGAGAAGCTATGGACAAATGGTCACCGAATTGGACAAAAAAATTGAATACTTTTATAAAGAAGGTGTTTATGTGATAGACTATTTGTATCATATATTTGGGAATTGATTGGAATAGAAGACAAATATAATTCTATTATACCTATCCATGCATTTGCCTTGTTGGTAAATTATTGGTGGAATTTTGGATACATTTGCAGATATTGTTCAAAAGATTATTTAAAACAAATTGAATTCTGATTTGTAATCGTTTTGGAATATCAAAGGAGAGGAAATTATCAACAACTTGACAGAATTTGCCTGACGTCTTCATAAGCCTGGATCGTGAAGAATAAGTGTGACAGTTATTCATTAATTATCGCCTTTGAACGAAAATATTAGTGAAATTTACTGAACGTTTGACACAACTGAATTTGTATAGTTTCGTATTCATATAATGTGTCGAGTGTGGGAAATAAACGAAACCCCAAATTTTTTCAATGACTGAACTTTTACGGAACCAATAATTTATTTAAAATAGTCGAAGCTTTGAATTCGGGAGGTAAAGGTCATATATTCCACACTTTTGCACATTTTTATAGCACATGGCAGAGCCAACACGCGCGTGGTGTATAAACTGAGAAAGATCAAATTGGCCACAGATCAACGAGAGTTTCCAACGAGAAAGTTTAAGCGACGAAGAACGGCGTGTTTCGACTTCCGAGAAATTTCCAAGGAGAACTATTCCTGAAACTCCAAATTTCACAAGATTTAAGAGTACAAACTTTCAATTTACATGTAAAGGCAAAGACAAACATATCAAAATGAAAGGCAAACCGATTGTTTATTTTTCCGCGCGCCATACATTATCACCTGCTTTTAGACGCGCGATGAAATCCCTTTCGCGTCACGTGACCATAGTAGGCGAAAACGAAGACCCCGAAACAGCTTATGCATCGATAAACGATTGCGATGTATTTTTACTCTATCTACACCCTGGATTTTGCCAGAAACTTTTCCTGATCTACGAACTTGGTGTCGCATTGGTTCTACGAAGACCTATCGTCGTCATCCGAGAAACAGACTTGAAATTCTCCGAAATTTCCATCCCCAATCATTTCTATGACATTAAACTTCTGATACCGCCAAGTAAAAGTGGTCCATTCCAAACTTGCAACGTTTTTGGAAAGACCTATAACTCGCCGCTAGCCTTGGGGGACGTTTTGACGTACGGTTACGAGAATTCGGTGGTTTTTTGCCCCGAATTGCAAGCTAAATGCATTGCATTGCTACTGGACAAGATTTTTAGCTTATCTCGGGAGCTAGGGAGTTTACTTAAAAGACGCAACAATTCTGCTGTTAACATAAAATTACAAAACAGCAAGTCAATGTTGGGCGTACATGGCTATTCGAAACAAGCAGAATACGGCTTTAGCAAAGACAAAATATCTTTGCTTCCATTAAACGGATATGAAAATGACAAATTAAAAACCAATTCACTTCTTAATGAACGCAAACTGGAGAAATTAAGCTCTAATGAAAAAAGAACATCAATTAATGACACTCCAGAAATTAGCATCAATCACCTTGGTGGCCAAGATCAACATTTCACGGATAACACCTCGGAAAACCCGTTTGAACCAGTCAATCCGGTTATATACGAGTTTCAAGATCCATCGCAAGAAGACGCGGACGAGGGCCTGGTTATGAGCGACTCGTCGTCAACCTGTGATGTCACGTATTTGAATGATAAGACTTTTATTGCGTCAGCAAATACGTCACCACTACCAAGCCCCATTGCCCCCCGAGAAATTTATTACCCAACAGCCCTGCCCGTGTATCCAATGGAATTATGTTTCCCGCCATTTCAGATTGAGAAATTGCATTTTGATAAGCACGCTTTACAGATTGCCAAAGCAGACAAATTGCCCTCCATTGTACGACGAAGAATCATGAGAAAAGAATTGTAAATTGGCAGAGAGCAGAACCAGATGTGATTGGTTAATCGGGTGGATTAAACGCAACTGATTGGTTAATGTCCCTTAATGGTAGCGGTAGTGGTAGTGGTAGTAAAAGTAAACTGAATGTAACGACCTCAATTATGATTTTTTGATAGCAGTTGTTTATATCTTTGACTATATATTCAGTTCACAGCCCTAGTTACGAAAGAATAAAAAAAGGTCACTGAGCGTATATAGAATTACTTTACAAGTTAACTGTGTTGATTGTACAATACTCATTTTCGTACAAATAGCCGTGATAATTCACAACTTAGAAGAAAAAGCATGCCAATAGTCATTGTTTTTCCAGTTTAAGAAGAAAAGAATGGAACGAACACTGCGAAAAATACCTGAGTGTTTTGATTCAAAACCCTTGAGCAAAATAATGTGCCCACACATGCAGTGAATCAAAATTTTGAGTAAAATAGACAAATTTGGCTAACGTTAGATTATTACACACGCAAAAATCTCACATCTTGTGGCAAGTCTGCCAACAAGCATTGAACAACTTTGGAACTGGTTAACAGTTTAACAACCGTGTTGATATTACCAGACTTAATTGTTGCTAGGTTGTTCCAACAAGTCCGATACGGTCATGATATGACAATCAATTGCGGCGGTTACAATCTTATGTCGTCAACCTGTCACAATTCCAAGAGCCAATCTTAGGCAAGGACCTTTTGTATAGTGAGGAACCAATTAAATGAGTTGGGAATACCATTAATTGGTTTTAGAATTCCTCATTTTAAAGGTATTTAAACACATTTGATAGGATAGTGTTTCGTTTTGACTGCTATTAAAACTATATCCTATGATAAACTCCATGCTGGGATGATTCTATCAGTTCAGTGTTACTGGTGTCTCGTCTTTATATTGGGTCAAATGTTAATTACTGCACACTAAATGAAGAAACACAACCTAAACTAACCGCTTTATATATACTATTCAGAGGGCGCCATTTTTAATATTCATGCCTTGTATGAGCTCCTTGTGTGAGCTCCGTATATCAGAGCGAGGTTATTGTTGACCAATCCGGCGACAGCCTAGCACAAATAGCCACATGTTGAAAAGCAAACAAGTGACTCGATTTTAATATTTGAATACGCCTGTTTTATATTGATTTCTTTGAAGAGCCATAGCCTATACGTAGTTGCTTTTAAAGTTAGCATTTTGAAGACCTTTATTTCGAGGTAAGTTTGTATCAAATTGTGTGTATCTTGTTACAAAACTGTTTCAATTGCTCTATAATTGTTACATAGTGTACATTTGATAGCTTTCAAATATTTACGCAAGTGAATAGGCCTACGTTTGATCGTTTAACATTTCGATTCATGTGTATGATGCCAGATTCGTGATTGTAATTAAAACTGCCGAGGAATATCCCATAGGCTGTGCCGAACAGGACACGGATTCGTATATATCGACCCTTATTTCTCCTACTGTTTGTATATTTCAAACCGGGAGTAACTGTGGTCAAACAAGGATACGAGTTGGCAGTGACAAATTGTCACTGCCGGGGGCATTTCAAGGTCTATATAAATAAAATGCTGTGCTGAGTGGTTATATTACTACCTTAAAAAACAAGCAGAAACTCGACGTTTCGAGCGAAGGCCCTTCGTCAAGAGTTAGTGAAGGGGCGACGAAGGCTTCGCTCGAAACGTCGAGTTTCTGCTTGTTTTTTAAGGTAGTAATATAACCACTCGGCATCGCAGCATTTTCACATTGCCATTGGTACTACCTACCCTGGTACAGACAGTTTTACTATATAAATAAAGGTTTGTTCCAACTATGTTTTAACTTAAACGCGGTCTAGTTTATTAAAACGCAACAATTTAAACACAGCATATCAAGTTTAAAAAAATAAAATTGGCTTGTGTTTTATGATTTTTGCATAATGCAATGTGTGATTGTAACGCTCATGTACTCTCATCCTCGCTTGATCCTGGCTTTATACAATTGTACACCATTGGCTTGTTACGGCACCAACGTGTAATGTCTTATTAATTTTGTCTGCATCTTATTTTGTTTTTATTAGTTTTCATACTTGTTATATTATCGCAATTTCAAGAGTTCACAGATTCCTGTGTTGTGAGAAGCGAATCCGGTATCTAGGGGAATACATAATCCCTTAATTCTCGAACCGAAGGCGATTAACGCCCGTATTCTAGTGGAGGTTTAATCCAGTGAGCTTCTCTTGAGTGTCAATGCTGTTTTTGAATAGCTGGAGGGTGAGTAATCACGTAGTAAGGTAGGACACTAGCCCTCCAGCTATTCAAAAACAGCAATAACACTCCAGAGAAGCTCATATTGAACCTCCACTCATTGAGTGTGAGTGTGAGTGAGCTTTTAGAATACAGGCATTAGTGTTGTTGGCAAATTAGTACCGACACGTTGACGTCCAACAATATATCGATCTACCTTCAACTAAAAAAGACGCCTTATACCACTACTAACAATAATACTAACACTTATACTAATTTGCCAACAACACTTTCTGACTCTCACATCCAGAAACTCGCATTCCAATCATTCCCATGATATACTGTCTATCAACAAGGAAAACATTTTGTAAACATTACAACATTTATAAAGCCCAGAAGCATACTTAAACTGCCATTTATATAGTGTTATTGACATTTTTATGTTTGTAAGCGTCTGCGATTTGTTTGCCTCGTATACCCAGGCACGGTTCGGGTCCTCCGCGGGGTTCAGCTTAACCGCTGAACTATATACAACACCGAAGTGATTGCTTAGCTCGATTTGACTGAAATCATTGCTTAGCGCGATTTTCCTTATAAGCGCCTGGGTATACGAGGCTAGTATTTTGTTCAAAAATATATTGTGTTCTAACGTGTGCTTTTCCATATTAGAATACTGTTTTTGTTTTTCATTTAGTTTCGAGGAACAGTTGAAGAATGTCAGTGAACAAAATTTTACTCGCTCTGGGAGTTGTGGTCACTATCTCAGCTATGGGTAGGAAAATTGTCTAATTTTCTTTTTCTAACGAATTATCAGACAAACTATGTTTTCTTCGAAAGGGTTAGTTTGAGAATCGTGCTTGCTTTGATGACTGTGCCACTCATGAAGCCTCAATAAACAGCCAGGAATAAATTTATTTTCATTTAAAGATGTATTAAAATTATTTTGTTTTTTTACACGAATATACAGTTAAAATAACTGTCTAATGTTTTGTTTGTGTAAAGTGTTTTAATATTTTTTTGTTTCAAAATGGTTATATGCGTATAAGAATTTTTCGAGAATTTTAATAAATATTTCAATGAAATCGAGTAAAGCTTTCTTGGCTACGAAGGAGTCATGAGTACATTGCATCTTGTTGTTTTAGGGAGTGCTCTGACATGTAATCAGTGTCGTTACACATCAAAACACCTAAAAGCACAACAAATGTGCGCCGGAAATTCAACAGTCAACTGTACCACAGGGCACTGTTACACAACGAAATATACCCTTGCTGACGGCACAGTAACTGTTGAAAGAGACTGCGCCAACAGCGATCCTAACAATAAGGATTGTCCCGATGCTGAAGAAACATGTGAACGCAGAACCAAAGCATTTGCTTTGAAATCCTGTGTTGCTGCGTGCTGTCAGACCGATAATTGCAACAATTATACCCCCAGCAGTGCAAGTGGTGTCGTGGCGACCAAGTTCATTCTCTGTTTGATGGTGATCGCTGGTTTTCTTTTCGCTTGATACTAGTGCTAGTGTAGTCTAGTCTTTTACTAGTTTTATCTTAACTCAATTGTTGTAATTTGATTTAGATATAAGTAACTGTTTATTTATTTGCTGCTTGATGATATAATAAAGTGATTGCGTTTTTTGTGCCTTACATGCATTGATTTCGCTTGCGCTAAGCCAGTGAACCTGGGACCTCTTCATCTCCAGGTGAATGCTCCAGCAACTGAGCTACCCTCGCCTGGATGAATTTAGCAAGAGATGATGACTATTAAAGTTGCTTTATCGGATAAAGGATAAAAGAGTACACTCAAATGGAGAACTTGTTGTAACAACTGGCCTCTGTAGACTGTAGCTCTGGGGCCGGTTGTTCAAAGGTGAGTTAGCGCTAACCCCAACATACATTTAATTAATATACCCAATAGCCTCTTTCCATGTTAACTTATTTTAGCTTGTCAGGGGCAGATAAAGATAAAATTCCCATGTTGTGGGTTGAATTTAACCTGCCCGAATCCAGTCCGAATTGAAGGATTTCAGTGAAATGACATCTCACACGAATAAATCACTACTTAATTAATTTTGATCCAGTCCTAGGAATGAATTAATTTTGATCCAGTCCTAGGATCATAGTCCAGTGTTATCAGGTGAGCAAAATAAAGCAATATGGTTGGCTAATTTACTCATGAATTAATTAATTATTAATGAGTTTGAGATGGATCATTCTCTCTGGCATAAATGTCGGACAAACTACGTTTCCTTTGCCCAAGTTAGCCGCCTATAAACAGTGAGATATGAATCCATAACTTTATGTTCTTCTAGGGAGTGCTCTAACATGCAGCGAGTACATGTCAATACACGTCAGAAGATCTGAAAACAAGAGAAAAGTGCGACTCGAGTAATACGGTCAACTGTACCGAGGGGTACTGTTACACAGCACCTTTCACCCAAATTGACGGCACGGTAGTTGTTAGCAGAGACTGCGACTCAACCCTGTCGACAAATTCTGTCCAGATGCTGCTAAAACATGTCGTGACAAAACCATAATTTATACCATAAATTGAGATCCTGTGTTGGTCCGTGCTGTAATAAGATCGATAATTGCAACAACTATATACCAGCACTGCACCCGCCAACAGTGCAAGTGGACCAAGATCGTTCTCTGTTTGATGGTGATCGCTGGTTTATTTTTCCCGGATGTACTTAAGTACTTTGGGTTTTGTACGACTGCTAGTGTGGTCCAGTCTTTTACTAGTTTCAGTCTTACTTTACGGGCCGAAATAACTGCTTATTTAGTTTACTGTTGATGATATAAAAAAAGTGATTGATTAATTTGTTAGGGTTTTTTGCCTTACGTTCTTCTATTGCATTCTTTACTACCTACCGTGACCGTGCACAAATTAACATAAACATACTACAATGACTTCTGTTTAGTTTCCAGATGAATAGCAAAGAATTGTGCAGCTCAAAAAGGCCAAATATAGTATGGGCCTAACTATAACAACATGAGCTCCACCTTTGAATTTACTGTACGAGTAAATTATTAAACACGTCCGAATTTATCAATATGATAGCTTTTCAAAAAAAAGATTTAAAAATGTTTAAAAAAGTTAAAAAAGCAAAAAAAAAGTTCAAAAAGTTAGATTTTCAAAAAAAGTTTAAAAAAGTTAGATTAGGGGTTAGTGGTTAGGGGTTAGTGGTAAGGGTTTAGGGTTAGTGTTAGGGGTTAGGTTCCGCGAATTTATCATATTGATAAATTCAGACGTGTTTAGCAATCAGTACTCATATAGTAAATTTAAAGGTGGAGCACATGCTGAACCATAAGCACAAGTACCTCATAATATTTTCAGTGGCGTCATATAATGGTACTTATATTCTAACCAATGAAAAATGATCATGCAAAATTATTTCACAAAGAAAAGTACAAATATTTATGTACACGCTAAGCTCTTGTCGCTCATTCACAAAATCTTTCAACCATCGTCAAGTTTGAACGACGTTCGGTTTGGTAAACTATATAAGAGGTACGTTTTGTAAATTCAAATATAGTTCTTAATTTAGACCTTTTACTGTTGGTCAAACCTTGGATAAAGACGAAGCGAGAGTTGATGAGAGTAGCTAGTGAGGGTTTGCGTGCGAGTTTCTTCCCATGTCAAACGAGAGCAACAGTTGCAGACCAATCTCAAGTCATTCCGCCAATCCGCCTGCTGGACCGAGCCGACTGACTTCAGACCGCCATGAATTCAGACTGGGATGAATGTAAAACCACAAATACATTTCAGAATGATTTCGGCTGTAACTTTGACATTGGAATAACACTGACACAGTCAAACGAGAAAAACTGACGGAAACTCGGAATAAAACTCAGGAAACTCCATGAAAATAATTTGAATCAGGATCCAGTTGTTCAAAGGTGGATTAGCGCTAACTCTAATTGGTTAAATTTTAAGCCGCTGTTTTGGTTCGTATAGTAAAATTTAATACGCACGTCTGTTTATTTCCACACTTGCTTTGGATTCTAGGCTAAGCAAGGGTTATAAGCTTATCGACTTTCGAACAACAGGCTTCAGCTGAAAATGTTGACAGTTAATTAAGTTTCAAGGCCTTCAGAAGTAAATCAATATTGGGGGGGGGGGCGTTGGAGCCGGCTCAAGAATAAATCTGAATTGTTTTCGCACTTTTCCAGGGTTTTTTGTGTTTTGCTTATAATTATAAGTATATATAATTTATAATATAATAGTTTTGTTTGTGGAAACACTACGTAAATTTATTACTGCATTACGTGGTGTTTCCACAAACAAAACTATTATATATTTTATCGCCATGCAAACGTACAAAGAACTTATATATAATTTGTGTGTTTTGAAATTATTGAGGGCCCCCCCCCCCCCCCCCCCCGCTTCCGACGGCCTTGAGTTTAGAGTTAACTCTCATCAACTCCTGTCGTTTCACTGGACTTTAGATTATTACTCAAACACCAAGTGCCTAACCTTACATAGTCTATATAGGAATTCGAGAATGTAGACATAAAGAGAGAAATATAAGCACATGAGACACAATACTGTAATTTTAAAAGTGAAATTTTACAGTGAATATCCAAACCCAAGGACAACGCCAACGGTAGCCTGCATGGCAGGCGGTACGTAGGAAATACCGCCTGCCGCAAAACTGGGTGTAAATGAACTACCGCCCCTGAAGCATCAACGCTATTTATAGATGCACAGCCCCCCAAGCTGCTCCCAAGTCCCAACTGCCCAACAGCCCCCCCCCCCAGCCCCC